ACAGAAAATGAAATATTTCAGTATTTTCTAAGATCATTCAGTTCAGTTCAATTTACATAGCGCCAAATCCCATCAGCAGTTGCCCCGAGGCAGTTTATATTGTAAGGTAAAGATCCTACACTAATACAGAGAAAACCACAAACCAGCCCATTCTGCATCAACTATCCCACATTCAGTCATCTTTCTTCCCCATTCTGATCCTCAGTTTGAAGTTCAGCAGGCTGTCATGACCATGTCTTCTTGCATAAAAGCTTTGAGTTGCTGACCCATGATCAGCTGACTATACCTAGACTTGACTTTACTGGTGCTACATTCTCAAGAAAAACTGTAACAACATCCTGCCAGTGCAAGAGAAAGCCCTCAACACAAACTGCTGTGTGCAAAACATATTTATATTCATTTTGTCAGGAGTACCATTTTTAAGGGCTCATCAAAGTAAGTACAATTCATCTTGAGATGGGCATGTAGTGGTTGTCAAAGACAGGCTGAGTGGCTATGGTTTGGATATTTCTCTAAAAAAACGGAAATCTAAAAACATAATAGAATATAAATTCAGATTAAATCTTTATCTAATGGTGAATGGGGGGGAAAAAAAGAGACTGCTTCTCCTAATAAACCAGTTTTTCTACACAAAATTCAGATTTAGGGTGAAAATCAGAGCAAAGCAGCGTCTTCGTGTACAGCGCGCATTTGTTAAAAGATCTTCTATCAGCAGGAGTAAAAATAAAACTCTTCCTGCTGAGATCCAGCAGGAGATTTGTTCACAGTTAAGATGTTAGATGGAGGAATGATCAACTGCTGGGTGCTGACATTTTTCCTTTAAAAAATTGATTTTATAACTGCAGCAGAGTGTCCCTTGCTGAAACTCTCCGCCAAATCACCCGTTTTTGTTTTTACAGCAGTTTGGATCTTTTATGTTTTTTTTTACTTTGGCAGCCTTTGAGAATGAAACTCCTTGTACTGATGAAGAGCTCTGCTTGGACTAAAGATGTTTACAGATGCAGAAATGCATCTCCTTTCTTTGAAAGTGCCACAGGGATATTTTACAGGATTGTGATTGGATTTAAAGAATAAAAACATCAAAACGCTTCATAGTACACACCACTAGTCAAAGCTCTTTAGACCTTTTAGATCTAATATTAATACAAACACAATCTCATTCAGTTAAACTGCAGCGTACATGTACTGTCCTTTTCAGTCCAAACACATAATCCAGTCCTGCTCAGAAAAACATATTACAGCTGAAGAGAAAATCTGGTCTTCAAAATAATAACAAAAAAAATGAACATGTTTGTTGTGGAGAGCTGTGGCAGATGAGAATGTACAGTACATGCTGATCTGGATGTTTTCCATCTTAAATTAATATCCTCACGTTATTTTTTTTCTCCTCCTTTGTTGAAAATCAGCCTCATTCTGAAAATAACAGGAAAATCATTCTCTGTGTTTCATGTGTTGAAAAACAAGTAATTTGTTTTAGGATTTTTCTGTTTATATTCAAACGGACACGTCTACTACTGTTTAGAGCCTTTAATAAAATAATGCCTCATTATACATTTTTCTTGCATCACCATCTTAAGGCCAGGTTTGGTTCTTAATACAAGACATTTATCTTCATATCTGTTTGATCATCTGTTTGGAGTGCTGGTGCACAGCTTCGACGAAGGCACCTATGTTCTCCGGCTCCATGTCGGGGTAAACGCCGTGGCCGAGGTTGGCAATGTAGCCCCTTGTGCCGAAACCCTCCAACATCTTCTTCACGATGTCTGAAATGCGCTCCTGAAGAGAAAGAGAGCAGGTTCACGTCAGTCGAAGTCACAAAGAAACGATCAAACATAACGCTCTTTCAGCAAAACGCATTCTCACACAGTAAAACCGATTTTAACTGGGACGCTCAACGGCAACAGCAGGTGGCCAAAGTTAAATGCAGACGTCATCTCCTACAATGAAGGCAAAACTGTTCGTGCTCGCCATCAGAGACACGACGTGACACATACGCCAGATCACAGTGCACAGGTGAGCTGAAGGGTGAAGCCGTGTGAGAGGCAGAGTGGTTGAGAGAGGTGGCACAGTGTCATTTTAGATGAAATTAGCGCAAATGTGAGGGAACATGCTCACTGAATGATAATGAGGGAATCAGGACAAGGAGTGCAAGCTAATCTCAGCAGATTGTCTGTGGCCACCACAATCAAGAGAAAGACGTTTCAGGTCATCGCTTTGCCAGGAGACTGGAGAGCTTTTCTTCCAGCGATCATATCCTACAAGTTCATTTAGAGAACATCTGAGTTTATAGACTTGTTCTTTTTTTAATATTAGGATATCTGACAGAGTCAATGTGTAGTCAAACGTCTCTACAATGACAGAAACGGGACTTTGGCTGGTCTGACCCACTCAAGATCAAAGTGGGCTCTATGTGGCCCACAATACAAAGTTTGAGCCTCCTTATTTACAGTTTAGAGGGAAAAAACAGAAGATCAGCATTTAAATGTTTGGCAGGTGTTACAGTGTAATGATACAGGGTGCAGGAGTCTGGACTTTTCAGGGTTGCAATTAATTTGGCTTTTTTTCAGTTTGTTCAAACAAACATTAAAAAATTAGCAGCTATAATGTTGATACATTTGGAGTTTCTGTGCTTATTTAACAAAGTATAAATAAATAAGTCAATTAAAATTTGTTCCTATGATTATCAATGCAGATTACAGGTTTGTGTTGTCACCCATAGACTTCAATGAAACAGCTCATACCTCCAAGTTTGTTTGTTTTTTTTTTTAAATATATAAATAGTGATTAAAATCTCTTAAATCACACATTCAATGATGATCTGCTAAATTAACAGGGATATTTCAAGCTGATTATTTTCTTTAATCACCACCGCAGATGGTGACTGATTATAAGAAAAGTCTTCATTGTGCTGTTTGGTGTCATCTTGTGCACCACACTGAGCAGAAAATCAGATGTTTGCAGGGATGACAATAATCCAATTGGCAAAGCAGTCTGATGTTTCTGTGACCACAGCAGCTGACGTGGGTAGCACCACAGCCAACAACCCGGGGATGTTAGTCTGGGGTCAGACTAAAGTTGTATCATTTAAAAAACACAAAAGATGGAAAACTTCAAAGACTATGAAAGTCACTTTTATCAGAATTACCTAAGTATGAGTTTCAGATTTCTATGTGTCGGTTTAAAGCACAGTGAAATTGGAAGTTACCTTTGGAGCATACAGAGCACAGGGGTCCATGTTTCCTTGCAGGCTGACCTTCCCTCCTGTTCGTTCCCTGAATTCACAAACATACACATCAGAGGACACACGAGTTAATCCTTCAACCAGCGGTTTAAGCATTTGATGAATAGATCAACCCAGGAACAACAGAGAGGTCAGCAATGGCCAACATCACGCCCAACATCACTGCTATGACCGCCTACATTTGCTTCAAGTATTTGTAGAGTCTGTGTGGGCTTTTCACTGTATGCTAGTTCTCTATTCAGGCTCACGTTCAAAAATGTTTGGCTGGTTGAAATCTTACAATTAAAACATGCAAAGACACACCAGTGTGCGTTTTCTGTTACCGTGCGGATAGTGGGTCAATGGTCCAGTCCAGGCCAACCACTTCATAATTAGACTGAGACAGTTCCTCTAAGGCGTAGTGAGCATCCTTTGCAAATACAATCTAAATACACACAAACAGAGAAAAACAACAACAGATTTTCAAATCAACTTCTTCAGGAACCATTGTTGGTGAAATGCTGCCACCTGCAGGTAGATCCAACAGAACAGTGGTTCTCCTTACACTGCATGAATCCTTAATGATCCCTCCAGGGAGGCAACACGGTGCTAATAAGAATAGAGCCGAGTGCTGACACAAATATAGCAGCTACTAATGACCCAAAAAACTAAACAATAAACATAATTTTTTTTACTACTAGTTGTTTGAAGCTTAGCATCTGATATGCATGTCAGGTGACTCTCTTTGCAATGCATTCATGCTGATGTGTAAGTGTAGAAGTCCACGTGTGTTATGCATGTGTGGATGGAGGAAATGTGTTTCTGATTATACACTGAGGGACAAATGTCTGTGTGTGAATCTGTTTGGTGTCCCTCTCACCATGGGGACATCCTGTCCTGCCTCCTTCAGTTTATCTTTGACGCGGCGAGCGATGTCTCGGAGGTAAGGCAGCGAGAACTCTTTAAACTCTGCAGGTCCCAGAATGCCGGCGTGGGACTCAAACACCTGCAGTGCCTGAAAAACACACAAGAATTGTGTGAATGGTGACAGTGACACTTTGTTTATAACAGTGACATCTTGGGTCACTCACACTGGGATTTCACAGGTGCAGCGCCCAGCAGTGGGGTTAAAAAAATATAAAATAAAAAACAAAGAAAAAGGAAATATAACACTTTAAAAGGGCTGTCTTTGTGTTAACATTTCACTTACAACTTCAAATCCCTTCAACTTGAGTATTTTTCTTCTGTATTATGTAGAATATATGCATTAAAATAACCTGAAACCTGAAAGGCGACCATGCTGACCACTTTTCTTTTTTAACTTGGAAACATTTTCTGTCTCAGCGTGTCTGACTGACATCCCTCCCACTCACAGCAGTGATGACAACACTTCAATTTACGTCACTGTTGCCAGTTAACTGACTTTGTTGCTACATTCATAGACTTGTCATACTTCTTTAGTACTTTCTCTTCTTTTGTAAGAAAAAGGAAAAAAAAAAAAAAAAAAAGCACTTCGTTCAAGCAAGCACACAGACACAGAGCTCTGTCGCTGTCTCAGATTGGACACATTTGTTCAAGTCTGCATTACGCTGACACATACTGATTAATGAGACAGTTAAAAGATGGTGCTGTTACGTCAGTTCAGCCCGGTTTTATTCATGCAGCATCAGTTCTCAAGAAAAAAAAATCCCGTCAAGGTATTTTAAGACAAAGATTGTGCAATATTAACCATCATATGATCTGCTATGACCAATACTTGTTGACAGTGGAGAGGAAGAACTCCCTTTTAACGGGAAGAAACCTCTTGCAGAACGAAGGCACCGGGGAGGGGCAGCCAGCTGCTACGATCGATCGGCTAGGTGACGGGAAAGAGGAAAAAAGGGAGCATAGGGAGAGAGGACCACACACCCACACCATTGTTTATGTACTGTACAAATACTGAAAATTGCAGGATTGTGTAAACTTACTGGAATAATTTGTGCTGCCTCAGCTGTATTTTGCACTGATGTAGAGATTAGTTCACTTCCATAAGGCGTGTGTTCTACTGTCAGCATTTATTTATGTCCTTGACTCAAACATATATGACTTACACTGACTCTGTCCTGTGAAATTTTTTATTTATTACATCTTTTCTTTTTTTTCAAGGGAAACTAAAATAAGCTAAAGAAAATTTTTTTTTACATCAAGTGACATCATAATGGAGGAAGTCTGTTTAGACACAGAAAGCAAGGAAGTCTGACCTGAGCTCCAGCTGCCACTTGTCCGAGCAGATACTCCACGATCACATCTGTCAGCATCTTCAGCAGCATGTGGCTGGCTTCAGGGTGCTGATACAGCCAGCGCTTTGCCTTAGAGTGAGTGTTGGAGCCTCCACCTTCTATCATGTAGGACATGAGTGTCCACTGTGGAGGAACAGAGAGCTGTTAGAATATGGAAGCATTATTTTCTATAAATGTTTAAACATGTGCGCGCCTAACCGGAGCCCCGCTGAATCCTATTAGTGGCACTTTGCCCTCAATTTTGTGTCGGGTCAGTGTGATGGCTCTGAAGACGTAGCCCAGCTCTTTGTCAGTGTCCACTTTGACCTGCAGCCGCTGCAGGTCCTCTGGCTCCTTCAGAGGCTCTGGAAATGTTGGACCTTTACCTGCAACCATCTGGACATCCATACCCATGGCCTGGAGGGAGGAAGAAGAAACAAAGATTAATTTCAAACCAAACCAGTTAATATATCTGCTTTCTGTATTACTTATTATCTTCAGGATGCAGGTGGGCTGGAACCTATCAAAGTAAACACTGGGCCAAAACCTGGAGTACCACGTGTCCAGTCCATCACAGGGCCTCATTTTATTTATGATGTGTTCACAACATAAGCCATCCAAAGGCTCTTTATATTGTAAGACATATTAAAGAGGGTAACCCAACTATTAACTGACGTTCTAAGAAAAAAATAATAGCAAGCGTGGGGAGGAAGAACTCCCAGCTAACAGGAAGAAGGCTTTGAGTATAATGGAAGGATCAGGGAGGGTCACAGCTGTACAGAGAATGAGTGGAAAACAGATTCAGGACACCTGAATAGATGAAAAATATATCTTGTTATTTAATTAATTAATCAAGTCATCAAAAGAGTTATTTTGTCAAAAACATTTTGAGACACTGCGTCCACTGTGGAGGAACACAGTTTCTCTATTTCTTCCACAGAAGGTCTTTTGTACAGTCACCCTCTCCTCACCCCCAACCAGCCTGAGCCTGGTTCTGCTGGAAGTTTTGTTCTGTTAAAAAGGGAGTTTTTCTTTTTCACTGTCGCCAAGTGCTGGTCATAGGGGGTAATCTGATTGTTGGGGTTTTTGAACCAAACTGAAAAATTAATACTTGACTAATGGTAATTTGTTAAATTAACAATTAAAACATGTGGACATCACATACATGTATTACATCAATACATAGACACCTGTTACCACACAAGAAAATTCTTCTCATTCCTCAAGACATAGCAGACACTGGTTGTACTGTATGTCAGAGGTTATTTAAATATTAATAAACGTGAAAACCCTAAACACACTTTCTACTCACAAAATGTATATTTTTCTGATTACAGAAAACCTCTTTTACTGTACATCTGACAAAAATATAGCAAAAGATTAGCTGTAAACATTTTATACATGCTAGCAATTGAGCCTGGTCTGAACAGACTTACCTGTGGGACAACTAGGATATCAGAGAAGATTATGGCAGCATCAAAGGGAAAACGTCTCAGAGGCTGGAAGTGGAGGGGGGGAAAGAAAAGAAAATTGGGATAAGTTATTCTTGTTGGTACCCTGTGGGTGGTGTAACAACCACTCCATCATCTCACACCACATAATGGTGTTGCTGACTTGATGTTAACACTGTGAAATTATTATTTTTTTTCTCCCCCTGTGAATCCAGGTCTGTACCTGCAGAGTGAGCTCACAGCAAGCCTCTGGTGACTGACATGTCTCAAAAAAGTCTTTCCCTGCTCTGGACTCACGGAACTCTGCAGATTAGAGTAAAAAAAACACTACAGATCAGCATTAAGACTCAATAACAGGGAGTTAGTGGTTATCAGGGATGTGAATCTCATGCTTATGGTCATGCAGAAAGTGAAATACTACAATATAAAACCTGAAAACATGATCACGAATATTAAGGGTAATCAGTGTAGCACATTTGATAGTACAGTGCTACTATTCATGTCAGAAACAAGAGAAAGAACTGATCTGAAGCCTGTACCTGGTAGATATCTGCCAGCCTGTCTCATACACCAGACTGGGACATGTTCGGTTTCCTCTCCTCGTGCCGCTCTCAGGAATGTGTCGTTCTTTAGCTGAGGAAAGTCTTTGGGGCTGGGTAGAAAGCACTTCATGTTAGAATCGATGTTTTCTCTGACCAGGTTAAGAAACACACCAGTCTGGCTGGATGTGTGGGGACATTCACCCGCTGACTCTTCTTATTTACACTGATTATGCAACATTTTAGCGTAGAAAAATAGTACAAATTTAGACAGAATTTTAAGATATTTGCGGCATGGCCAAAGCACACTGGCAATTTCAATTTATATTACATAGTTGAGGGAATGGAGCTTAGCTGATAGTGTCATAACCTCTTTACAATACAGCCGCAAACTTGTGTTATCTAAAAATAAAGGCCCACCCTTCCCTTTCCCCTGCAATCACTCTGGGCATCCAGCTGAAGGGCATTCACCAAAAGAGTGATTCTGGGAGATAACTGTCCTCTGCTCTCTTATCTTCTCCCAGCAGGAGAAATGACAGTTAAATACAGGAGTGTTTAGGATGGATCCGTAATGTATCACAACCTTAATCTAATTCAGACTCTGACATGAAACTGTTAGACGGACAACAAAAACATTTCACAGATAGTCAATTATGTTTAGTTTGCTACACTTAACTTTAAAAGATGCAAGTCTGCTGTTAGACTCTTCTTAAGAATTAAACGTGTGGGTTATAAAAACACACTATCAGAGTTTGTCATGGATTCTGTATGGGATAATTTAGGAAACAAACCAAGTTAGAACAACCAAAAAGATTAATAAGACTTTTACATTATTAGCTATGCCGAATTTATCAGACGATCCACAGAATTTGCTTAAAGCACTAATTCATGTTGCAAAATAGGTTCATCTCTAAATATGAACAAGAGATTATTAGACTGCTGGATTTCTGAATGAGTTTTTTTTTTTTTTGTAAGAGGAAGCGACTTCGCTCTGGCATTGGATTACGTAGCTTTAAGGAATGAGGCCTGTGTTTCTATAACTGACCCATAATAGGAAGAAATGTTTCATAACAATGACAACGGGGGGTTTCATAAGGTCACTTTTTAGACGGCTAAACAGCCAAAATGCTAACCTTAAATGTAACAATGTAACAAGCGGCAGTTTGTTTCGAGAAACAAAGAAGGAAGTACTCACAGGATTAAATCGTTCTTGCTCATGTTGGCGGTGCTGAGGATGGGACAGCCTTTCAGAAACTCCTCTGTCTCTCTGCGGGGATGACAGTTGCAACCTGCTGCTCCTCAACTGTCATTTAAACCCCGCTCGCATGGACACAATCTTCTATCAGCTGCTACAGCGCTGTGGGCGCGGCCATCTTGAAAAACCACGTGACCATAGCAGGAAACGAGATGACGCTTCAAAATAATAGTCGTTTTCTCTATTTAATCGTTATCTACATTTTGTTCCCTTAAACTTCAGTACAGTTTGTATTATCATCATTATTATCATCATTAGTAGTAGTAATTCTTACGGTGGCCCTGAGAGGCCAAACGGACTGCAACTTCAGAAAACACTTGCAAAAAGAAAAATGCTGCAAAAAGAAAAACACTTGCAAAAAGAAAAATGCTGCAAAAAGAAAAACACTTGCAAAAAGAAAAATGCTGCAAAAAGAAAAATGCTGCAAAAAGAAAAACACTTGCAAAAAGAAAAACGCTGCAAA